CATGAACAAATCAAAACACCAACTTTACTCGCCTGGGAAAATCATGTAAAGAAGTGTGCCTGGCTGAATCTACATCCATTATCTATTCCATATTACTTCATTAGGCAAATCGTGCTTTAATTTCAGAACCTGTATAGATATTCTCAATACATATGAAAACGATGAACAAAGAGAGTTAGAGAAATGCGGCTCTGCCTACAAGTAACTTGATCACAATTGTTGAAAATAAAATAAAATAACAGTGCATTTCTAATAGGTTTATGCTTATCTTATCTTTACTAACCCTAAGAACTCATGCTTTTGTGTAGCACAGTAGACTAGGCTCGTATGGCTTAGAGCAGTGGTTTCCAAACTTTTCATAGTCACGGCGCCCTTTTTCAATTAAAATTTTTCCATGGCGCCCTACCCTAAGTATGACTTTTTATAAGTAAGAGATAAAAATAAATAAACCTCGTGTATTTTCATTCTTTTTTTTTACTTTGTTGACTTTAAATTAATATTTAATAATTAATGTGATGGATAAGCCTGCAAACCACTGCACATTTTCTCAAATTGAAGCTTTTACAACATTTCGCGGCGCCCCTGTAGCGGCCACGGCTCCCCGGGGCGCTGCGGCGCAGTCTGGGAATCACTGGCTTGGAGGGCAAAATCTCTGTCATCCATGGTTTAAGTAATTCTGGAAGGGCTGACGAGACCGAGGCAAGGCTGAAATTGCAGTACATTATGTCAAAGTATAATTAATCCGTAATAATAAAGGATGTCTTGCTTTAAAAAAGATGTAAATGAACGGCAATCCACTACGTCAATGAGGCTATAAATATGGGTCTTGAACAGCTAAAACAGGTAAAAAATAACCCAAAACAAAGAAATCTAAAGTAAAACGAGTCCCATTGTTCATTATATTCAGGCTTTCCAAACTCATCTAATTTAATCATTTAGTGCTCACATCCAGACGAATATCAAGCCAGCGATTAGAAGCGAATTTGAGAAGGGAGAACGCAGCATTATTGTCAATAAGGCGATCGGAAGCACGGATAAAGGAGGAAGTCCGTGAAAATGCGTTCACCATAGTGGCACCAGCTGCGGAGCCAGCTGTCTCACTGTAGTTCGACAATAAATGAGAGCGAGTGACCGCATCGAGACGGTGTGCTTGCCGGGAGCATGGTAAATAAAGAACCTGGATACAACAAGGATCAAGTAAGGCAAGAAGCTGAGGAAAAAGGGTTGTATAGGGTTTGATCTAAAGCTAAAGCGGATAAAGTTGAAAACGAAGAATGCTAAAAGAGACTTCAGGATAATTCAATTTACAAAGAAACATATTTTTATATTGAATGATATAAAGAAAAATAAGATGTGGGATGAAGATAAAGATTATGTGGCCTTTTGTATGGCTACGGTCTCATTTCGCTGTATAGAAGTTGCTTGATCTTGTTTATGCAACTTATTTATATTGGCAAGAATACCTAGAGAAACGCACTTTATCCAGAGTCCATAGTATGCATGATAATTTCCAGTCGAATAGTGGACTTGATACATTTCCAGACGTTTCGCATCGGCATCGTAAATGAGCCTTGCCACTCTTATAAACACACCACAACTCGTCAAAAAGATAAATGAAGTCGACCCTTTGAGCAATCGCCTGCTAAACAGTTGTGGTATCTCCCCTATTCTGGGCTATTTACCTATCCTATATCCTCATATCACCTCTTCACTAACACAATTTCTTACTTGTTTATCAAACCTATTTGAAACCTATTCACACTTCCCGCTGGTTTCCATATCCCTCCAACTATGCCGGGAGTGTTGATCCAAGGTAGTGGTTTCATCCGCAATCCTCTCCAATCGGGTTCTACCAGAGTCACTCTCTTGCTCGATAGGATACTTGGCTTATCTATCCGTTCCAGTGATTTAACCCTATCGCAGCCACCGTATCCGTGCTACTGAAAGCGTTATGTTCTACACTTTGCCTAAGGCCCTTGTTAGCCCATATACACCGGCATCACTGAGCCATAATCTAAAGTCTGGATTCTCAATTGACATGGCAACACAACTTGATATTGCAGATTCCCTTATCACTGTGCCGCATGTGCACCGAGTAAATCTTGTGATCAAGACTTTAATTCATGAACCTTTACGGTCTCCACCGCATCTCTCGCTCTTCTATTATTAATTCTAAATCTATGAATATCTTACGTCC